CTATGGGCATAGTTAGTTTAAATGGCGTCAGCTGGCACGATGTCTCTTAACCAAATCATTTGCCAACCTGCCGCCAGCTACTTCAGGACACACATACAGCACCAAACTTGCTCCATTCTTTTGGAAAGTAAAAAAGTCCATATCTCAAAAAATTGTTGCACCATAATTCCAGAAACATGTACTATCACCGGAGACAATTAAAGCGTTGGGTTTACAAATTGGATAACTCTTGATCGCGCAAGGCACTAAGGCGGCAAGGTCACTCTGTTAGAAGTGGTTCTTCACAGGGAACACTCAAATTTATACCTAAAGATTATGTTTGAGTTGTTGCAGACAACTTAGTTGCTTTGGAATAAATAAGTTTGTAGATTGCTTTACTCGGTCCTTTAGCGTTAAGTCCACCCGAACCAAAAGACGCGAACAGTAATCGGAAGGAAAATGTTACCAAACCCTTCTGAGAGACAGTGCTCGGGTTGTATTCTTCTGCTGGTATAATAGCATAAGGAGATGGTGTTCATTTTGTGCGGACCTAACTGCGTTGCAGTGAGCTCGGAGCAGTGTTTCAACATTGATATACCTTAGCTACCCCCATCCAAATAAGTCGCAACATATCGCAGCTAGCCTGTATATTCTGACTGTATAGCACTGGTATCCATGTCCTTGTAGCATAAGCTGCTGTTTAAAAGTATAAGAGGCAGACGTCGAGATGATAAGAATTCCGTTCCTGTAGCCGACCTGGTACTCGTCACTGAAACTCTAGATAGATTAACACAGCAACTATTGTCTCCGAATGCGTGGAAGTGAGTCTGAATTGAAGCTGCTGCGAGGTGCCATCAGAAATCTAGTTCATATTCCCCTTACAAATAGGTAACCAAATATATGAGTAGTGAGTTACCTATAAGCCAACAACCAATGAGTTTTGCCCGCTAGCTCAGACTACTATTAAGCGAACACATTAATTTGGCTCATGTTTCTGTGCAATAGAGCCATACGCACCGATCTTAAAGCGAGCTCCTTCTGATTAGGTTTACGTTCGACGTAATGCATACAGGCGATTTACGCAAAATCCCTAACCATTCCCGTCCTCCATGCGCGGAGCTTTTATAAGCGCCATTTTATTTTGCAAGGTCCAATTCGCATAGCTAACACTGCTTAGCGGCTGCAGTGGGAAATTGGCCGGTAATTTAAATATTACCTTAAGTATAGAAGCAAATGTTGGTAGCTCAGGTTGTTTAGTTGATTGACTGATTGTTCGCTGAGCTCGGCAGGTTGACTGCAAACGTTTCGTCACCACTCGAGGTGACATCGTCAGTGCGAGTGTATTTAGCAGTGTGGCGCGTACGAGGCGTCGGTGACGATGTCACCTCGAGTGGTGACGAAACGTTTGCAGTCAACCTGCCGAGCTCAGCGAACAATCAGTCAATCAACTATTACCTTAAGTATTTGACATGGACAAGATCAACGAAACTAATTTCCAAACTGAATATTTCAATTAGAATTTAAAGTTATAAAAAAAGGGTTGACACAATTTTAATGGTAATCATAAATTTCATCTTGATGGGTTTGTCTTACTGAATCTGTCTATCTCTGACTGCTTTCTCTCGAAAGTGTAATTTATTCCCCTTCTTTAACTGTGGTCGTTGTTGGATTTTGCACAACTCATTGCATTGTAGCCCCGAAAAATTTCAACTACACAAGAGATGACATGTAGACAATACACGTTGTGTTTACTTTGTCCATGCCCAAAAACTTGAGAGCTAGCAATTGTAGAATCATTTGCACCCCTCCCCAATAATTTTTGATAGAAGCAACCTTATTTAAATTACCAGATAAACTGATTTGCGCGTTTGTGTCATATATTTAAGCAGTGGTAATACGAGCCTACAACATTCGAATCAGCTTTATTGCCCACCTGATTTAGAGCCCACATCACTTTTTTGCCCAGTGTTTCAAAATGTAGACCTTGTCTGGAAAGTACGTTAAATCTTCTCCGTTTATTGCCCATTGTCGGGGTCGTCCCACCGCCTAATGGCCCAGCTACGTGTTGTCGTTTTGTCAGTTTCACGCCCTCGCTCTGCTTATCTTTTATTACGATTACCCCACAGCTAGCCAGTCCGAGCGAATCGAGATCAACAAAGTTGTCGGCGACGTTAATGGCCGATCAGAAAAGGTCACCTACCTCATTCAATACATGAGCGAGCGAAGTGTACAGGCGGCTGTGTGCAAACGCTCGGCCTTATTTAAGACTCGAGAAGTAAGCAAAGTCAGGTAATCTTTCTGCTCCACATCTGTCAGTACTCTATTGGTTACACAAGAGCATAGTTAGTTAGAGAAAGAAATTGTCCTTGACGAAATGTTGGACATTTCGGACAAAAGTAAAGCTTATCCACCAGGAACCTCGTTGACCAAGTTGTCGCATGATTTACCCAATTCTCGTCATACCCTAGCCAGGTTGCTTGCCAGCGAAACGGAATTCTGGCGGAATTCGTCACATAGCAATGCAAGCTCTCAGAAAAGGAAGCGATGTAAAAAAGATGAGTAAGTAGAAACTGCATCGAATGACTGGATAATATTAGTTCGTGAGTACAAACAAAAAGTTAAAGACCCGCTTCTTGAGCAAAAGGTAGAAGAATTGGGGGAAAGACGTGAAAAATGCTTTGCTGCCACAGAAAGATGGTTGCAAAGATGGAGAGTTAAAAAGCAAACTGTGTATAACTTTGTGCATGGAGAAAAGAGTTCCGCGGAAAAAGCATTCTGTAAAAATTTAGCTAAAGGATCAACTGCCTGAACTTCTAAGTGCATTTCATGATTACAACATGCGCAATGCAGATGAAACAGGTATTTTAGCAATCAAATTCAGAGGGCCCTTTGTGTTTTCTACCGACATTCTCAGCGGGTCGAAAATAGCCATGGATAGGATCACTAATGTGTTGAGCGATTATGCCAGGCACGGAGGGGAACACTTGAGTTAATTGGCATACTTAAGAAAACATGAGGTTTTAATGGTGTGAACGTGGTCACACTTTTCAAACCTTACACTGCTAATAAAATTGCATGGATGACGAAAGAACTTTTCACCAATTGGGTCCTCGAATGGAACAAAAGTCTATTCCAAATTGGCCGAAAAATTATGTTACATTTGGATAATTGCACAGCGCGTCCACAGGTAGAAGGCCTGAATAATATTCAACTAGATTTTTGCCGGCAAACACGACCAGCATTCTTCAGCGTATGGACCAATGTATGATTATGAATCTGAAAATCCGGTAAAGACAGAAATTGTGGACCGAATACTTTATCGCATCGATAACAATGTGTTATCTGGTTCATCGCCGACGGTTAATGTCATCACCGAGATTTCTGTGCTCGATGCAATTCAGTTCGTTTCAAAAAGTTATAGGTTACCGATGCATCAATAAAGCTTGCTTTCTGCGTTGGCTTCAGTCGATTGGCATCGGATGCACTCTCTGATGACGCCATCATCACCGAGGATGATATCAGCGCTTGCACAATCCCAGTCTTCAATGCAGAAGGATTCGTCGCCATTGACGACGATAATAAAGTACCTCAGATCTGACAACTGCTAAAGTTGAGATCGCCAGTGCTGTTTTAGAGAACCGGCTCGAACAGAATAGGGCCGCTACTCAGAGGATAACGTGCCGGATGCCTCTGTGAGTAAGCGCAATCAGTGCGTATCTCATTCAAGAGCTGGGCAACGATTTCTTGTCCAAAATGGACCTCACCAGTGCGAAATTGACTGAAGTAGCAGCTCAAATAACATACAACTGACTTTATATTGTTTTCTCAGCAAAAAATATAAAATAGCGTTAGTTTCTATAGATATCCAAGCAACATAGTTTATATTATATTTTTTAAGTTATAGGTCATACATTTCTGCTTTTGTAGGCTTTAGTTAAAAGTACGTATGTTGTTCTTCTTAATACGTTACAATTCAAGCGATATATTGTCCAATAAATCAATGGTTGTTTCCATTTTGTAAAACTTGACAATATCGTTTAAATGCCCACCCCGCTTTATTGACCAATTTTGAAATATTCCGGCGGTGGACAATGAAGCGGGTGCAACTGTATTGCTAATTGCGTCCAACTTAGGCGTTATCGCCAAATTAAATTCGATTGGTGCTTATGAGTCCATTTAATTCTTTCATTCGAATGAATCGATAAGAATATTTCGTAACAAATACAATCATTCACGCTGCGACTGCATAGATCTTGGCAGAATTCCAAACATTCGACATCAACAACCGAACTTCGTGCATGGCTCTAAATGGTAAGTAACGGAAAAAGCCATTGAAATATTATGTCAGTCCTAGTGTTATCTAGTGGAAAACCATTCAGTAAACATCAAACCCTGTAACGTATTTTCAACGTAGCCATTCCCTTCTCGGATGTGTATTTTACAGACCTGAACTGCACCCTTGCGTATAAGTAACGAGATGCCTTCCGTCCAACGTAAATAAAACTTGCTTCACTCCGTTTCAAACATCCTTAACTGGGATTGTGCAAAACCTTGACTACCTGAAAGTACGGAAAATCCGGTGTAATTCTCAAAATTTTCTACCATTAACTGTTCAGGGTTGCAAAGTATATTTTGAACTACATGTGTTGCATTTATTTGTAATAGAGAAGCCAATCGGATTATTGTGAGCGCATGAGAATTCATAGGCTGTATTGGGTAATCCGGCATGTCGTGTGATTAAAGTTGTCTTTCTGGTAGTTGATGAAGGGCCTAACCTCACAAAGTCGGGGTAATTCGTATCCATTGCACATAACGTATATTTGATCAATCTGGATGTCTTTCAAGAGACAGCTCCAGAAAATGATGTTGTGAGCATATATCCTTCGCCAAAAGCTATCTTAATTGCACTAAATGTAGCTGATAAAATGTAGCTGAGTAACAGCATATACTGTTGGCAAAAGATAGCCTGATGCATCAACGATGTTTGTGAAGAATCAGATCAATATGCACATAGAACTAACCTTGTCCTTCAGCGCATGGAGGGCATTCTTCAAGGGGCTTCTTTTTATTTTTGGTTCCGGGATCTTCAGCTTTCCGGTTGCCATCTAGATTTATAGATACAAAACAGGAACGGAAAATCCCGCTTTGGATGCATAACACAAATGCACTGAGAAAACACTAAGCAGAATTATAGGTACCTCCGAAAATTTATTATCGTTTAATCATTTATTAACCCATTAACATTCACTGATCTATATATGTATTGAACATGAAACACCTGAACATTGCTTATTCAGCAATAAAACTGCATAAATCGTGTCAACGTAAACTCCGTTTGCCGTACTTCGCATTGAATTCAACTGCCACCTACTCCGTGGCACTCTTAGTGAAATTGCAGCCACGCTACTAACAGTTTATCTTTTTTACAAGTTGGTCCGTAACCTCCATTGCGATGAAAGCTAGCGTGACTTTAAGTCTAAAAGCCAAAATGTAAAACATGGAATAATAATTCATATTAAGAACAAACTAATAATTTTAGAACTATTCTTGGGAACACTTATTCCAATACGAGCAACAATTTAATTTTCTCCGGCAATGGAAGACTTGAAGTGTGCTACTTGAGGAAATTCAGGTTGTTGTTGCCAGCGGTAAAGCTACACTGTGGAGAGTCATTTTAAGTAATCGGAACATAAGCGGTAGGAAAATTCTAAATAATATCGTGTTCACAAATCATTACAGACTTGGCAAAGAGTGGACGATAGCTGATGTCTTACTGAAGACGAATTAAAGCTCTCATTTCAAACTTGCCTTGGTAGGAGTTTCCCGACTGCCCGTTTAGGGACAGATGGACGATGAACCCATCTGGTTGGGTACACATATTGATATCGCAGGTGGCCTATCTCAATGGTGTTTGCGTTGTGATTTTCTTTGTTTATAAACCGTCTCATTGCTCTTCTCCCTCCAGCCACGTTCCCTGCTTTGAGGTATTAGATGTTACTAAGCATATCTCGATATTCCTTATATAGATATCTTGCATTATTCCAGCGGTTACTTTTAAAGGCTATACCGCAGAGGAATAAGTAAGCGCTACTTATGTGGAAACAGGTTACGTGAGCCTTTTGTACCTCTAAACAATGGTCGATCATGTGTACACCATGTATGAAAATCAGTGGGTCACTACGAAATCGATAAGAACCAAAAATCTTCTCCAGCTTTTCCAAAGCACTATACCTAGATACAGGTTGATTCATTGCTCATTGTGCGATCACCGCAGGCAATCTCCATGCCAAGGCACAAGAGTCATAGGTTGCATTGGAGTCTGTGAGGAGGCAAGGCTGTGTAATATGGTTTACCTCGGTACGGTATTATCCTACTAGTCACAAATGTGTAACTAAAAATAGCATAAGTGTGGCTGTAAAGTAGACATTCCTTTGAAACCCTCTTAGAAGTCGACCTCACGCGTGATCATATGATATGAATTATTATGTGCAACCTGTCGCCCGATCAATGGGGTTCTACCTCTTGACAAATTCCGAATAGACGAGGCTGTCGTTGGGTGCACTCTTGTCGCTTGAGGGTAGTGTTGTATAGCTTTAGACACAATTACACCGACTACATTAATATCCACGTTTTGCCAACATCATGCACTGGCAAGTACCTTACCAACATCCAAGGATAAACCATTGGCATTAAACCAGTTGCAATGCAGATTCCAATCAGGCTGGTCGCCAGATATAATATCAGATAGATAGCCTGGCATCATATTACATCTTAACAAGGATTTCGGCTGGGGACGTTCTGTAAATGTGTCATTGGTGCGAGACGTGTTTCATTGTGGTAAAGTGTAGTTTAAGTGAACCCCAGCACAGAAGACGGAGAGGGCAGAGACTTACTTCGTTCCCTTGATGGCTTTCATTTGCAGAAAGCAAATATATTGTCAGTCATCGATGAGTTTGTGTAAACAAAGAACGTGCACAAACCCTCACGCTAACTTACTGCTACACATTGGTCTATTGAAATGATATTTGGGTCCTTGCTGTGAACTCATCCTTTCGTTTTATCACCTCAGACACCTTGCTATAACTGGACGGGGACACTGGGCGCAGGTTAGCTTGGTTGCATTTTGAAGAGAACTAGCATTCGTTAACTTCAATTGCTCAAGTCTCGTAGATGCTAAGATTTTCCTGATTTTCTGTACACATTTAGTAGGGACTATGCAAATGTACCTTCAGCATTACTTTTTGACAGTAGTTCCTTAAATTTTGCCGACAGCATATGCCTAATCATTACCCTTGCAAAATAATACTTTCCAATGCAGCTATTCGCAGCGACTACTGTATCCTTCAGTGAGTAACAAAGTTTAGCTAAATCGCACAGTCGAGGATCAAGTGACTTGCCATCTTACAGTAGACAATAAAAGTTGAAATTGTAAAGTGCATAGTACGAAACTCTACCAAAACTCTTGATGATGCCTAATTATTCCGTCCGAAACGATTTGCCATGCATAAGTAAGCTAGCAGCTGCCCTCGTCAGAATCACAAGGTGCGCATCGTTAGCGCTAACAAGGGAACACATAGTGACTGAGTCAAAAGTGGAACTAAGAGGAAAGTGGGAAATCGGATGGCCTTGATAAGCGTCAGCTGTTTTGCATAGACCATGATGAGATATGAGATGGTGGGTTAGACGATACATAAAACACCGATAGATTTCCTGGGAGAACCATCCGGATTGTCGTGAGAAAAGGGCATTCAGCTGAAATAACCACCCATTTTGTAGTCCAGAGGTAGAGTAATAGTTTTGCTGCAGGAAGTGTGACGCTGTTGTAGGATCCGTTACGCAGTAAACACAGGATATTTGCTGCGAGTTCTGCAAGAATCCAGCTTGTTTGCATAGTAAAGTGGTGTAGGGTATTTGGGGGCTAATGACTTTTATTACCAAATATATCGAGAAAATATCACAACAGCTGTACTTTTCTACAAAACGATAAAACTCTTGTTGAGCCTAGTAAGTAACACAGAGGTGGAACCAGTACGTTTGGTTGAGTTCTGCCCAACCGCATGAGTAGGGTTGGTTAATGGAAACCCATTTGAAGAACCAGTGAGTTAATAGCTCACTGGAAGTACGCCAGCTGAGATCTCGAAATGGCTGCTCCTAACCAGCCAGTAGGGATATCATACCACGAATGATGGTGGAAATATTCTTGAATTTGTACACTAATGAAAGTATAATTGGGATCAGTAGTGTCTGTCATTTTCTAGTAGCTGTGACGCGTTCATCAACCTCAACTAACCTCTTTTGATGATAATGATTCTCAAGTGGCTATTCACCGATTTGTTTGCAGTTTTAATTGCTGTAAGTTAATAATGGATGTCAAAAATTGTGTTGTCAATTTTTGGCTACTTTATGCACACACAAAAGTCGAGCTTACTATGCATGAATGCTAAACATAAACCTAATCTTACCTGAGTTTAGTCGGCAAATCTATGCTACCAACTAGGAATGTCAGCCGAAATGAATGATGTAAATTTTATGGTGTAGTCCAAAGAAAACATTATTTGGCACAACTGCTTATTGCTTATACAAGGATATCACATCCAAATTCCAAAAAACCTTCACTGGTTTTCTTGCAGCAGTTTCCTCATATTACGTTCGAACATCAGTACTAAGAATCGCTGTAATTTTTATTACGCACCACCCGCATATCCTTGGCGCACCAAAGCAAAACATACCAAAAGTCTCCTTATAACAGCCGGTTTTTGTAAACTGCCACGCACGCAGCCACACGCCTTCCAGTTTCTGCTCTTTCATAAACCTCCTAATTTGAATTAACGAATAACAATACCAAGAATTTATGTTAAATTTACTCTGCTAGACTGTGCGTACAGTATAGGTTGATAGCCCACAAATTTTCGATCCAGCCTCCCATGATTAAATAGTCTAGGCTTCGCATAATCTCTACATACGGCTTGAGGAACTACCGCTAAGTAAAACTGCGCGAAAACGTCTTTGCTCAACCGGTATTTATTTTACGCAACCTTATGTGCGCAGCGTTCTTCCTGAACATATATACAACCATCCGGAAAGGATTTACGTTATTTATAATTTACTGGGCATGTTTTCTGTGCTTGAAGTAATAAATGTATCACCGTTGCAAAAACAACCCGTATACTTAGACTAAACATATCGCTACCAATGCTTATTGAACGAGATTACTTGCCTACAGGACTTACTTGAAAATGATGAGGACAACTAGAACTGAATCAGATAACTGACCAGCACATTCTGGTTCTCTCATCTACTTTGGCATTCACTTATTTGTTTTTATTTGCCTTTTGTATCTACCACTGGCTAGTGCAAATATGAATTTCTTGTAAGGTTGGATAAACAATTCATTATCTTCAACTATTCAAACTACCGCGGCGCATAATATTAAACTACAGTTGTACTAACTGTCACTGACACATGGGAAGTTTGGACAATAAGGTTCTTTTCTCCCATCTTTAACTCGCTGTTTGTCTTACAAGTCATGTGAATTGCAATAACTTTCAATGAGTTATGCAAACACAGGTTTATTTGAAATGTGACTGTTAGGCCCTCGTATTCAACCTTTTAACTCACCCTGGTAATCACAACTAATCTTGCACTTTGCAATTCGCTGGTGTAAAATCCTGTTTCTGTTCATTTATTGTACCAGAATTGCAACTCCCATATTTCCGTTGTAGTTCATTAATCGTGTTCCATTTTACTCTCTAACATGTTACTCCTTCCACACACCGCTTGACAAATTACAATTCGGCGTGGATATTTGGTACAGCGATCAGTGACCGTTGGTGGAATTCCTTTGGTGGAGAGCTGATGCAACTTGGGATAGGTTTCCTGGACCGGCAATAACCTGCCACAAATACTGTGTAAAAAGTGTACACTCTGGTATTTTCACCTCTACCAAACCGCGTCTTACGTTGCTGCAAATTGAAACATTTGTTTTGGTATCCTGGAATTCGCTTATAAACTGTGAGCAGTTTATCGTTTCATAAGGTTTTGTGAACCATCAGTTAATGTATTTGACTTACCAACAATACTTTATATGGATACATACGTATATTTTTA